TCAGCACTCATCACTGAGGTTTATACCAAAATCAACCTGAGTTAGCCTTCCCCTTGGAGAAACTGCTTTCTTGTCATTCCTGGGGCTTGAACTCAGGCCATGGGCGCTATCCCTGAGCTTTTTTGTTCAAGGCTAGCGCTTTACCACTTTGAGCCAAAGCGCCACATCCAGTTTTCTGGTGGTTAATTGGAGGTGAGTCTCACAGATTTCCATCTCGGGCTTGAACCATGATCCTCAGATCTCAGCCTCCTGACCGGCTTGTTTTACTTTCTTTTTCAGTGCTGGGGTTGAACCCAGGGCCTCCTGCACACTAAGCAATGCTCTGGCACTGAGCTCCTCCTCCAGTGCATACCACAAGGACTCACTCTCACAGCATGTTCCCTGAACATCTGACTGGTCTACGCAGCTATGCCCAGGACACCCAGGAAGCAGGACACTGGGAGATCACTGCTCAGACCTGGGTTCCATGCCCAGCGCCACGAGGCCCTCACTTACTGCTTCATAACTTATCTGCAGTGTCCGCAGGTGTCTGTCTCCTAGGGACTCTCCATGGGCCGCAAAGTCTGTGCTAGGACTCCCTGCTGGAGATGCTGGAGAGACACGTGAGTCTGTGTCACTCAGAGTCCACGGGGGCAGAGACTCGGTCCCAACCAATTCCGACGGGGTGGAGAAAAATGACAGGTAGGTGGCGCAGGGTGATGTGCTGGTGTTGGCCCTGGGCGGGTGGGTCTGCTCCACAGCAGATGGCATATAGGCCCCGTTCCACCCATCGTCCTCGTCGTCCTCTTCATCCAGGAGGTCCCCAGCCCCTGTTGGGTCTTCAAAGAAAGGCTGTTGATATTCCAAGCCATACCCCATGGTCTGGGCGTTGGAGGAGCTGTGGTCCAGACCCAGCGTATGCCTCGAGGTCTCCTAGAAACAATGGAGGCAAATGCTGTGACCTGGAAGCCACCACATACCCGTTTTCTTTCTCATGTTCGGCCTGGGACCTGAAGGGATTCCCCTGTCATCTACCCCAAAGGGGCCAAACTTGAGCTGCAATGCTAACCCTCCACTAACAGTAAGAGTTCCCAAGCTTTGCTCCTCCTGCTCCCACTGTACACTCCAAAGTACTGCGAGTTAGAAGAGATGCCCTCTAAAGCCATCTGATGCAGATCTTCACATGTACCTTTGGGTAACTTCTACTGCCGGCTGTGTCCTCTTTGGATAAGCCAAGGTTCTTGGTTTTCAGAAACTCCTTAAATGAAAATGGGTTCGCCTCTTCAAGGTCTTCAAGTTTGTCATCTGAAATGGGCATGGGAAAGACAGTTAGAGGGAACCGTCTCATTCATCCCTCCAGAGCCCAGCATGTCCTTGGAAATGCCACCACCATCATTTCACCATGACTTAAGACAAGGGGAAACAATGCTGCTTCCTAAGGGGTCAGAGCATACATGCATCTGCATCCTTGCTGCTTCTCAGTCCCCAGTGGAACTCTTTGGTAACACTCCCCTCCCCTTCCTTGGCAGCACTTGGGTTTGAACACATAGCTGGCTAGACAAGCTCTCCATTGCCTGAGGCTGGTAGGTATGGTTATCTGTGAGGCAGGGTCTCCCTTTTTGCTCAGGCTGGCCTAGAATGTGATCCTTGTGGGTACTTCCCACCATAGCAGGGTGACCCAGTTATGTCTCCCGTTTTCTTATAGTGCCACGACCTTATACAACTAGGTAACCACTACACAACTGAGCTCTACTCCAGGCAATCCCTGGAGTCTTTTCTCGTTACTGGGCTGAAGGTACCATGAGATGGGACCTGGAAGCCCCTCAGGTACTGTAAAGATTGGGAACGGTCCCATCTTCCCACACAGGTAACTAAGTAAACTGTCCCTCAGCCTTTCTCTACACGTAGCCACATTTCAGTCCTCTAGCCTACATGCCAGCCTGGGTAAATGGGCTCTGACCCTGCTGGCCCCTCTGGTAGAACTTCCCCCTTCCTGGATCTTCCCACATCTACATTCTGTTGCCCTCATCTTCTGCTCCCCGAGTCAGGGTAAAATGCTTGGGGTTCTATCTGTACTTGGTTTTTGTGGCTTAAGGTACACTCCTTATATCCTGGCAAACCAACGGCTTCCTCTGCAGGACATGTGACTGGCACCAAGTGGTGGATAAAGAGAGAAAGAAAGGATCACTGAACTACTCTACCTCCAAAACGTGTCTCATGGGCTCCTGCTGGACCTTGCTTAGTACATTTCCCCTTTCCATAGCCAAAATCTGTAAAGAGACATCATTACCCCACCATGATCACAGGGGATATTACACAGCAGTAGTTTTCTGGGGGCAACTGTGGACTCTCACTGAGGAACTTAAGGGACCAGCCCAGGGCTCCTGTCCAGGCAGGTGACCTGGCTCCCAGCGACCGATCCTGGTGTCTGGGCAGTGAAGATGCCTCCAGTAGATTCTGGTGCCTGTGTGTGTGGGCATGCTAGAAATACACAGCTGGACTGTCCGAATGCCAGTGTGTGTGAGCACACACACGTGCGCGCAGGCTAAACACAGCTGGACTGTCTGAATGCCCTTGTGTGCGTGGAAGTGACACACACCAAGGGCCTGTCCGAATGCTCCAGAACCAGCCCAGCCCCTGGCCTAACCGCCTACCCACCTGCACCGGTGCTGGCCGAGTAGCTGCCTAGCTCCGCCTCGCCCGCCGCCAGACGCATCGCCAGCGGCCGCCAACTCAACAGTTGGGAGGCTCCCGGCCCTTTCCCGCACCCGGCGGCCCAGGGGCCTCCGAACGGCCCGGGCACCGGCCTTCCTGCGCGGGGGGCCGGCTGTGGGGAGGGGCAACCGGGCCAGACGAGAGCTGGGCGGCGCCCGGTCCTGCGCGCCCCGGGCGGCCGGCGCCCCGACTCTCACCTGTGTCTCCCACGGAAGCCAGCACCGGGCTGGGCACATAGCACATAAACGTCGGCCGAATGCCGAAGAAGTGGGGGTGCAGGTCCCCGCCATGGGGGCGCTCACAGTCTAGCTGGGGGAGACAAGACCGGCGCTCATAGAACGCAGGAGCTGTAAGCGACAACGAGAGCGGCTTCACCGCGGGCCGCCCGGCCCGGCCCCCCG